GGGAGAAATTTGAATTTTTAATTGTTGTAAAAATAATGATAAATAATAAATAAACCATGCTGCATATTAATATATAGTCATGATGCCATTACTATTACACATGTCTTTTATTTTCTGGTATTTACTATTACGGTATTTACGGTTTTACGGTTTTACGGTTTACGTTATTTACGGCAAATAATACGGCACATGCCGTGACCGTACTATTTCTGTTTGGGAATTCCGACGACAAGTATAGTAAATACAATATTTATCAGATATTCTTTTAAAATTAATCCTATTTTTTAGTTAATTATTGGCTTAATTTAATAAAGCAATAGCTCTTTTATATTGTAATTAAGTTATTAGTTAAATATTTAGGCGTGACTTCAGTGGTTTCAGATTTTTTTTCTCTTCTTTAGTATATCCAAAATTTAAACGATGATTATGGGTCACACAGTAAAATAGCTTCTTGTCTGTAGCATAAAACTATCTAATTATTATTTTTGTGTATGGTATACCTTATAACATCTCAAGTATTAAATATGTCATTAATTCAAGATTTCCTTTTTCATTTAAACGTTGAGAGCCCAAATCACCTATTAAGCTATGATGAACGTAATTCTTTCGAAATCCTAAAAGGTAATTTTTTTGACAATCTCCATTTTAGTAATATTATAATACCAACCATTCTCATTTGGAGTAGAATTATATAAACTTTTTAATACAATATCACCGAAACTATATACCTTTAGCAAAGTATTCAGTATTTTCAAACACATTAAATGGAATCAATCCCATCGAACCATATCTATAATTTGCAATTAATAAAGAAAATTTAGCAAATTCCTCATTTCCACCACATTTATCATTTTTTTCTCGATACTTTGCTATTTAACTCACATTATCTTTTTTTTCGTTCTCCTTTTCCCTAACTCGGCTAAATAATTTCTATTTTATTTCTTGATTTATGAGATATTTGAAAGCAATTTACTAAACCCTTCACAATTAGGCATCCAATTACAATCAACAAAACCCGCAACAGTAGCCTAAATTTGTTAATAAACAATTGATTATGGAGTGGATTCCTACGAAAAATTGGAATATATTTGTTTGTATTATCCTATTGCTTATTTTATTAATAAGAATTATATAATACTAAAATATTAAAATTGAAATCTCGGTAGAACAACTTTCAAAAAAAATTAAAATATACACATTACACATTAATAATACCGATAATTAAATGAAATATTAAATTAAATGAATTATTAGAATTATAAATATAGATAAATAAAAAAAATTTCTAATGCAAGAGAAAAATTAGATTATTTAAGATGTAGTGTTATCATATAATTACTATTATAGAATCCTATCTGAACGAGTTGTTAATTTTTAGGAGTGAGTTTGACGTCTAATTCTTTACAGATGGTGATTGTTGATGTTTCAGTCTTAAGGGGAGCTTGCATATCCGCCAATTCAACGTCAAACTTTCTATAAAGCGAAGCCAGCAATATTTTCAATTCAACCATTGCAATCTTTCTACCTGGACATATTCTTGAACCTCCACCAAACATCACAAATGAATTTTTATGCTGATGTACAATCCCTTGATCATCGTAAAATCTTTCTGGGATGTATTTTTCGGGATCTTTCCAATAAAGTGGGTTATTGTTGATTCCACGAAGATGCATTACAAATAGAGTGTCCTTTGGCCATTTGTATCCTGCTACTTCCATAGATCTCTCGTAATTTCTTGAGATCATACCAACTGTAGGTCTTATTCTTGTTGTTTCTTTAATTACTGCTTCACAGTATTTTAATTTCCCAACATCAGTTAATGTTATTGGCCTGGTTCGATCACCATTGAAAACTGATTCAATCTCATCCAACATTTTCTTTTTAACATCCGGATAATGTGAAACGTAATATATCACGAAACAAAGAGTGTTCACAGTCTATATAAATACAAATAAATATATTGTTAAATAATTGGTTGGTTGGTTGGATTAATATCCATGTTACATTACCGTATCTGTACCAGCCACAAAACAATCAAACAAAACACCACGTATTTCATCATCAGTCATTGGTCTTAATAATGATGGATCAACATTTGATTGAGGAGGACGAGTATCATATGGTGTATTAACAATAATCATAGAGGTTAATAGATCAAGTTGTTTCGGTTTAGAATTATCATTACTGTTAAAAGTTTTTTCAATTTCTCTTCTTCTTTTTTTGACAATATCTCCCATTTTTTTATAAAAACGATCATTATTTCTTATCAATTTCTGCACACGAGGTCTAACAAAAGGGAAATCTTTTAAAATGTGTGGTACATATGGAATATTGTCTGATACAAAAGTATCTACACATTCAATAAACTCTTCAGATTCAATCATCTCTTTTGTGATCTGATTTTTAAATTTACGATGATAATAATGAATTGCAAAACCTCGCTTCTCTGTTACCAAAATGTGTATAAAATCAGTTGTAAATCGACGCAGCCAACTAGCTATATTAATAACTGCTGCAGCATCACCTTTTGGTTTCAAATCTATCCAACAATTTGACATTTCTTCAAATAAGGCATTTACATATTTACTAGGCTTTGGAGAATAGGTTAATGGCATAATAGCCTGTGTAAACATTTCACGATTAAATTTCCAACTATGGTGATCGAAGTTAAGTGCTATTCCTTTTCTATCAAGATCAAAAATGTCTAAAAGAACATCCTTCTCAGTTCTTATTGCATGATTAGCAACATTCATAGATGATAAAAAAAAGTCTTCTATATAATCAGCACGAGTAAATAATATTTGTCTCTTGCCACCAATAGGTGCTTCGTATATACCTTCACCGCCATATTTTTTACTTAAACTATGATAAAAAGCATCAATATCAAGATCTTTTTTAACCAGTGCAAAACTTCCTATTAATGGAATTGGTATTGGACCAGGGAGTGGATTAATGCGAGTATAGTGTTTATAATAGAAATGAATTACATATAAACATATTATAGTTGATAATGCAATAAAAACGTCGGTAAATTTGATTTCGCTAAGGCTTGCATATAATAATCCCATTTTTCACTGTCGCCAGGAATGTAAGTAAAGGAGTGGATTTGTTTAGATAAGCAGTTTTACTTTTATTTTTGTGATAAGTCCATCCTTTTATATAGAAAATCATGATGACTTGTAAATCTTCAATTTCCGATGCATGTGATGTAGATTTTTCTTTTGTATGTAATTTTTATATATTCGAATGAAGAAAAATCGTTTGATATTCATTTGAAAAATCATTTGATATTCATCTGAAAAATCACTTGAATCATTTTGACACAGCCAAGCACGTTAAATTGCCATTATCAAGGGTCGCTTTGTAATTTCATGGTACCTATCATAAATATACATATATATAATTCAAGATATTTTAATGGACTTTATGACATAATCTATGGTTCAATGGAGTTTTGAAGGTTTTTACTAAGCTCAAAGTTTTCATATAAAAAACACAGAATTTTTTGTCTAATTTAAAGTTTCTTCCTAAATTCATTAATAATGCAAACTCGACGAGACTTTAAGTTTATATATGCAAATTAACTTTTAAAAACGTTTTTACTTAATGCACCAGTCCCAGTTTGATTAATAAAATTTTGAACGTAACATTTCCGATTATTAAAAATGGTCGGATATTTATGATAGGAGAGTGTATATATATTATATACTTTTTCAAGATAAACTCATTGAAATCTTTATTTCTACGCTCAATTTTAAAAACTTGAATTCATTTTTTATATTAATATTAACAAGGGAAAAAAAAATTATCGAATATGGATTAACTGTATTCATCTTAGTGATCGTATTCATGAGTGAAAGAACCACTCCTATCATTTACTTTTTATAGTACACAATGAGTCTCAGATTAACGTATATTTTTTTTCAAATAAATCTACATGTATATAAAAAAAAAAAAATATATATATAATGATCAACTTTTAATTGACGATCCGTCTATGAATCATAGACGGATCATCAATTAAATCTTTTTGTTGTATATATATAATTAAAAAAATTAATTATCTCTTAAACGGTCAGAGTATATTTTAATGGTAACACAAATTAAGGTTTTGATCATTCTTATTGGTCAATTTAACGATCAGCAAAGTAAAAACAGTCAACCATAATGACAACAACTGGATTTTCATTTATAGATTAATCGGCCGAATCTCAAAGATCATTTTCGTATTAGAAAGTGATGCCCTCAGGAAAAATTTTTTATATCAGAAAAATTTTATCGGCTATCAATAGCCGATTAACCGTTTAGGGGATAAATTATGATGTTACATTAAAATCACAGTGTTTTTAACCTCACAATATTAATTTAATAATAATAATGACTCTGTTTATTTACATGAACATAATATCACAAATTATTTCTTTATTAATTACCATATGTTGTTGTAAATTATAATTTATTATATTAAAGTTTTATTTTTATAAATTTAGATTAGCCAAAAAAGGCAATTCGTAGTATCGAGAAAAGTTTATTATTATGACGACAGACACAATTGATTTTTCATATACATACAGCCCAAAGTATTTTGAAACTGTGTTACACTTATGCTATTAATAAGCAAGTGCCGTTAAGTTTGTCGAATATTTTTTAAATTCATACGTTATTTATCAGCCAGTTATTATGGTGTTCGATGGCTATTGATATATTACATCAATATAACAAATTATTATGTGCGGATTTTTTAGTATCTTTATCATATATTTCCAACATAATAAATGTTGAATTATAAAAAGAAACTTCTATTTATTAATTTATCAGTTACAATGTAAATTTTTATGATAAAATTTAATAATAAATCAAATAACTTTTTTTTTTTTCGTAATAAAATTAAACAAAAATTTTTATAGTTTTATTGCTCAAGTCTTCGATAATAAATCTACAGAGAGATTTTTTCCCTGTATTATTTTGGTTGTAAAGTTTTTCTATTAGCAATCTTTTTTTAGAATATATATATAATCTAAAAGTTGGATATATTTGCTAATAATTTCCCTTGGTTTCATGTTTGTATCTTTTTAGTTGAAGGCTCTGATAGAATTTTTATTTATATATATCAGCCTGGGATTTTACCATATCGGTAAAAGTTTTTTGCAAATTCTACGTTTTTCAAAAAAGATAAATTATTTTTTGTTCTTTTTTTTTTCGTCAATTGAAATCTTATCATCATCTGTATCTCTCTATGTTTAATTTGAAAACTCGAATTCATATTAACAAGGGGATAAATTTTGAATTTACTACTTGCGTAATAGTAATATTTTAATGGACACGAATTTATTTTTTTAATTGGTTCTTGAAAAAACTATGAATTTAGGCAATGACTGGCCGAGTGACCTAAATGAGTATTTGGCTAACCTATTTAGTCATTATGTTATTGAGTCAAGAAAAATTATCATCAGATTAGGATTTTAACCCTTTACACGCCCAGTCCTGGTTATGAATTTATTTATCTCATTGCATTTACTTTTTATATAGCATTCAAAATTGTTTGATGTGTAACCCTCTAAATGAATCTCATGAATTAGGACCAGGAAAACTCTATAGAATGTGACCTTCAACACTATGATTCAAAAGTACTTATTATAGATTCGATTAATGAAAAATGGAAAAGTTCGTCGCCTTTATATAATTCGAAGGAAAAAATGTCATCGGTTGCATTACATAGGTAAACTCGATAAGTCGGTCAATCTAGATAAGATCGTGGTAAGCTGTAAGTCGGCCACCCTTTTCTTCTAGGGTGTATGTAAATTACTCTCAACAAGTCTGTCTCACGTGATATTTGGTAACGTGTCAAAATTATCCGACGTAAAAAATTAAATATATATATCATCTATTATGAACATTAATATTTTATTATCTAGTCAGCTATATCATTTATTATTTTGTTAGTTACATCATTGATTGTTTATTATTATTATCTCAGAAAAAGTGTTTCTTTTGTATCGTGAACAATATATTATTATCTTGTTAGTTATATCGTTGATTGTATCATTTATTATCGCAGAAAAAACGTTTCTTTTTTGTATCATGAACAATGCATTTATGTTTTTATTATATTCGTATGTATAAAAAGGTTGATTTCACAATCCTCCGAAAAACTTATATAAAGATCCTAAAATCCTTATAATTATGAATAATTTGATACTAAAAATTTAAAGTCACATGTCCTTAATAAGTCGGTCCAACATGCCCAGCCATTCATGATAAACTTATCGAGTTTACCTATGTATTAATAAAAAAAAATTTTTACATTTCATTATTTTATACCAAAAAAAAAAAAAAAAGAAACGAATAAAAATAGCAAAAGAAACCCTTATGATGCCAACAATATTTTACCACATACCCCCCAACTTTCAAGAATTTGTCAATTCTAAAAAGTTATTTGCAAATGTGGTCAAATTATTTTACTTGGAGTTAATTATCAAGTTGCAAACTTTAAAAAGACATTCTGGGAGTAATAATGGGATTTCGAGATCATTTATCATATATTTCTATTATCCAGTATTACAACGGTATTTTTTCATGCGAAATAGTTTATTTTTTTGGGATTACATTTTTACTCTAATATTAATACTTGTTTGATTGCAGTACAGTCAGACTCTTATATAATCACAACGTCGGGAATGCGAATTGTTGGTGATTATAACTGAATGTGACTATATAGGATTTCTCCTATATAATCATTTACTATGTAATTTTAAAAATAATAAATCTTTTATTTTATTTAAAATCCAAAGTAGATAGATACACATATGTATAAAAAAAATAAAAATATAATAATAATTATATAAAAAACAACAACAATGATTAGGCCACTTGCACTGTCTTGTCCAATTCATATGTCCATTGCCTTTTCTAGTTCAGGAAACCTCACTTGTCTATGGCAAAAAGCATTATGATGGGTTGTAGATAAAGCATCTAGCCATTTTTCTTTATCATGTAAAATTTTTGTTACTGATGACCTATCAATATTCAATGAAATTTTTTCACTAAAATAATTTGCAATTTCTTATGAGTTTTTCTGAATATTTTCTTGGTAATATGCAAATTTCTCTTTTCAATTGCTCACTAATAATAGCCGTACGGTTTTGTTTTTTTTTGGTTGAGACATGGTAATGATAATAACAACAATAATGGTAATGATTAATGGTAATGGTAATAATTACAATGTCAATGGTAACAATTATTAAATTTCAAAAAAATTTTCAATTGGCCAATAATATTTACACGGCCACATGAATTGGTGATTATATATGATGAAATTTATATATGTTATGGAACTGTCAAATATTGGTGATAGTGATTACAATATGAAAGTGACTATATATGTATGATTAATTTTAATATAAAAAAAAAATTGGGATAAAAAATACGTGACTACATATATAAACTCGATAAGTTGGCCAAACTTTTCACCCCATTTTCTTAATATTTAAGTAACTTAATTCAATAAGTCGGTTTACTCGATAAGTCGGTCATATGAGCTCGCCCCCACATGTCCGACTTATCGAGTTTATATATGTATATAGGAGTCTGACTGTACAATAGAGTTTTCCCCGGTCCTATGCAATCACTATGTCAAATTAATATCCAATTTGTTCGTTTGATCAACATCCCGTGACGTTCATAGGGCGCACATCACATAGTAATATGATTTAATGGGTCAACTACTGTGTAAAATGAGATTCAAACTGATATTCAAAAAAGGGTAAAAATTTTTTTTTTGATTTTGGAATAAGTCCGATCCTTAGATTCGGTGTGTCAAAATTTTGTCGTATAACAATTTATACAAGTTTGGATGCGCACATTTTTGAATGATCGTAAAATAAAATTTGCGACACTTTTCACAAAAATTTTTTACTATTATTATTACTATCATGAATTGGTTAATTGTGTAATAGATAATAAAACGGGCATACTGTATTTGTTGTACGCGTGTTAGATTAGATGGAGGGCATGATCCTGATTTACTATTAAGACAAGTACCATTTTTTTATACAAGTCGTCGTCAATT